TCCTTATTTCCTTATGCCTATTTTTATGTTGTTCACTTAAGATTGTACACAATCATATTTTTGTGTTCTAATGGAAGGAACAACCCACTGGCCTGACGCTGGAATCCAGTTTGTCAGCTAAAGACTCTGAGTATGTGTGCTTCTGATAACGTTTGAATCACCCTCCTGAAAACTGTCACTCCTCCTCCTCAGTGGTCACAATGTCACACGGTATTGAACATCCAGAAGGCTCCTTTAAGGACCTTTGTTGCCAGGAGATCAGGCTGGACACCCTAGGGGTCTTGAGCACTGTCGGGCAATGCAGCAGCCGGCCATATGTGCGACAGAAATCTCGGTTTAGCATAGCATACAAAAGGGAATTAGTGTTTACCCGTCATTACGGGATTTCAAAGAGTTTATTTGTGATTGTTGCGCCCAAAAACACTTGATTTGCATTTTTTTTTCCCTCAAAATTTGCAATGCAATTTAATTGTGGAGCTTTTTGCAGGATATTTGCATAAATTTCAAAACTGCAAGTTTGGGATTTTTGAAAACCACTACCAGTGAAGAAAGAGACTTGACTAATCACTTTATTTGAATATTTCATTTTATATCACAAGTGTGACTGCTAGTGTGTGTGGCTGTTTGTCTGTGTTGGCCCTGTGGTGGACTGGTGTACCCCGCCTCTCGCCCGAGGATGCTGGGATTGGCTCCAGCTTCCCCGTGACCCAAATGGATAAAGCAGTATAGATAATGGATGGATGGATTTTCTATCACAAAACCAATCACATTTCTTTTTTGAATTCAAAAACCAAGGGTTCGTTTACTGAACTGGACGCCTTTACTGGTGATTGTTGAGTGCAGTGCCATCTACTGGTTTTTGGAAAATTGTACACCAGTTATTCTGGTACTTTATGCTGTACGGTAATAAAAATTGAACGTGATACAGCTATGTTGGGAGTCTTTGGTAGTGTTGGAAGGTTACTTTTGAAATGTAATATGTTTACAGATTACTAGTTGTTAAAATGTAATAGGCAATGTAACTTTTGATTAGTTCATCAAAATAATATAAATTATTACATCTTACTACTTTTGATTACTTTTCTAATAAATGTTTTAATGTTTCTACTCCTATATATATGTAACCAGGTTATTCTGTTTAATGCGTATAATTACACAAAATGTTTTTATTTTGAATTTGTTAATTTGCTATCGCGACACTCGATCCGTTGGAGTGTGTAATAGAAAAATTACACAACGTAGATAAACCGGTTACATACACTATATATGGACACATACTCAGATTATGCCCTATGTGAAAGAGTGGTGTGACATGGATGTATGTCTAAAGAGCAATTAAAATAATAAAGGGGGGGGGTGAGTGGCTAGTCACCCTCCCCCTTCCCTCTGTGTGATGCAGTGTGATGTTGTGGGTGTGGTGTCTAAAGTGGAATTAAAAGAGTTGGGGGGTGACTAGCTGATTACCCCCCAGTACCTATATGTAGTGTGGTGTAGGTGGGTGTGGGCTGGGGGGGCCGTGGGGGAACGCAGTGGGCATCAGGCACGACACGCCTGGACGCGCAGCACCAACACCCAACCCGAAGGGGGTATCCGGAGTCTCATCTGCGCCGGCCTTGCCGATGAGCCACTCTCACTGTGAGGGACCAGGCAGTTAGGCAACGCAAACACAGGAACTTAATTAAAGAAACAGGGCTTTATTAACCCCCAAATACAAACAATAATAAACTCAAGATCTTAATAACTGGGCCCATAAAAGAGGTCAACAAAAATGAACAAAACTTAACATTACAAAGCAAAATATTAACTAAAGCAAACTGACCTTCTAATAAAGAAACACGAGGGAACATATATACTATATAGCGGTTTGGCCAAACCAATTAACATACAAAGGGGTAAACCAAATAATCACTACATATAATTAAACAAAGCAAAACACAACTAAATCCCAACTCCCCCCTCTTGCCATGGCAGCACATGGTTTGCTCCTGCTCCAGGGGTTGTCCTTTTGGGAGATCTCCGCCCTCAGCCACACCTTTATGCTGCATAGAAGACCATCCCCCCAAAACCAAAGTGATTGATTTCGACAATCATTGCACACAACCCTACAATATGAAAATATGCTACCCCAACCACAGAAGGCAAAAATCAAGACCTATGAGTTACTGCAAATAAAACAAAAACATACAAAACAAATCAACTAAGGATGTAAATATATGTTTCTAGCCTTACTGTATACCCCCCCCCCCCTCAGAACTCTCGCGTTGGCCACATTTTATGGCCAACGCCTCCTTCTCCACCGTTGAATATCGAACCTCCCTGGGGAACAACTTCCGGCTGATGTAGGCAACCGGATGATGATCACCCAGAGGTCCCTGCAGAAGCACTGCTTCCAAGCCTCTATCAGAAGCATCTGTTTGCAATATAAAATGGTCATCAAAATTTGGACTATACAGAACTGGATTCTTACTCAGTGATTGCCGGATGTCCTGAAAGGCTTCTACAGCATCCTCCGTCCACTGGACCTGATTGGGATGCTGAGAACCAGTCATGTCAGTGAGCTTGGCGGCTCTGGCAGAGAA